GCACAAAAAAGGGACACAGCTGCCCAGTCCTCCTTCCAGAGGCAACCCTCCCCGTTACCTGATTCTTGTGAATTTTTCTAGAGATAGTCCGAGTAGACACAAAAAGGCACGTATACTATTTTGAAAACTTCACACAAAAGGTAGCACACTAAACACATTGTACTTACCTCTGGTTCTATTTTTCCCCTAAATCCATTCCACGCCCAGACGTAGCTGTCTTATTCTTTTTAATGACTATAGTATTTCACTGTTTGAATGGACTCTAATTTTTTTTTTAAATTAAGCTCTATACCTGACGTGGGGCTTGAACTCATGATCTCGAGGTCAAGAGTCATGTTCTACCAACTGAGCCAGCCACGCACCCCTGGACTGTGATTTTTTTAATGTTTATTTATTTTGAGACATAAAGAGAGAGAGAGAGAGAGAGAGAGAGAGAGAGAGAGAGAATGCTAGCGAGGGAAGGGAAGCAAGAGGGAGAGAGAGAATCCTAAGCAGGCTCCACACTGTCAGTGCAGAACATGACATGGGGCTAGAACACACGGACCACGACGATCATGACCTGAGCCGAAATCAAGAGCCAGACACTTAACCAACTGAGCCAACCAGGTGCCCCTGGACTGTGATATTTTTTAATCACGAGAGATCTCATTCATATAAAAGAGTACACAAAACATTTCTGTACAGTTTAAGGAGCAAAAATAAAACTAACACTATGTAGCCTCCATCCAAGTCAAGAAATAAAACCTATCCAGCACTCTAGAAGCATCCTCCAAAGGTCCCCTTACAGATCTCTCCCTGTGTCTAGAAATAACACTATTCTAACTTTTTTTAGTAATTATTTCCTCACTTTTCCTTATAGTTTTGCCACTTACCTAAACATCTCCACAGTTTAGCTGTTATCTTAGCAGACTTTAACCTCATATAAAAAGAATAATGGTATAAATATTCTTTCGGGTCCTGCTTCTCTTTCCTACCTTCAGGTTGCATGTAGCCTTGGTCTGTTTTCATTGCAGTATAATATTCCATGGTTAAAAATCTTATTTAAACAGTCTTTCATTGATGGGGACATTTGGGTTGTTTCCAGTCTTCTGCTATTACAAATCATAATACAATCTATAAAATTTTCTAGTTTGCACATATCCTAGTGTGTGTCTTTGGTTTTTTTTTAGGGAAGCTAGAGGGAATATAGGGAAGATCTGAGTTACACGTTTCCTGGGCTGGATGGACTGGTAACACTGACTCAGGATGTCTGCTCTTATGCTTTTTGCTTGTCTCTAAAAAGGCACCGTTCAACACAAATAACAGAACGTCACTTTCTGCCTTCGATGAAAACAATGTAGGAGAAAGGCCCACTACTGTGGAAGTAAATATTTGAAGGGAAGTTAAATGCTATAAATTCTCCTTTTTCTATATTTAAGTTTTCAAGGTTAACCTTGATGGTTAAGAGATTGGTACTAGAAAGAAAATCACTACAACCGGGACGCCGGGGTGGCTCAGTCGGTTGAGTATCCGGGTCATGATTTCGGCTCAGGTCATGATCCCAGGGTCTAGGGATCGAGCCCTGCATCAGGCTCCATGCTGGGTATGGAGCCTCCTTAAGATTCTCTCTCTCTCTCTCTCTCTCTCTCTCTCTCTCTCTCTCTCCTCTGCCCCTCCCCCCACTTGTGCACTCTCTCCCTGTCTCTCTTTAAAATAGAAAAAGAAAAAGAAAATCACCACAACTAAATGGAAGCTGAATGACCTCCTTATAGACACTAATAAATAGTATCAGAAAATCTAAAATAGAAATTAAAAGCCCTTCAATTATAAGTAATATTGAAAATGACATATCTGTCATATCCTAACTCACTGTAAAAAAAAAAAACAAACAGATAATTTAGATTCTATAACATAGGTGCACAGGAATTTTTGACTCCCTTCTTTTGACGTCAAAGGAGATGTGTTGTGTTGGTTTTTTTTAATAGAGTCCTAATTGATGCATAATACTTTATTAGTTTTAGTTGTATTGCATTTAAACAAAATTTTTTTAGGGGCACCTGGGTGGCTCAGTTGGTTGGGCAACCAACTTTGGCTCAGGTCATGATCTCACAGTTTGTGAGCTCGAGCCTTGTGTCAGGTTCTGGGCTGACAGCTCAGAGCCTGGAGCCTGCTTCCCATTCTGTGTCTCCCCCTCTCTCTACCCCTTCCCTGCTCACGCTCTGCGTCTCTCTGTCTCTCAGTAATAAATAAACGTTTAAAAAAAATTTTAATGTTTATTTTTGAGGGACAGAGACAACATGAGCGGGGGGAGGGGTTGGGGGGCAGAGAGAGAGGGAGGCACAGAATCGGAAGCGGGCTCCAGGCTCTGAGCTGTCAGCACGGAGTCCAATGCGGGTTTCGAACCCGTGAACAGTGAGATCATGACCTGAGCCAGTTGGACGCTTAACCAACTGAGCCACCCAGGTGCCCCTAGTCGTACCGCACTTTAAATTTTGAGATAGAGATACTGTCATATTGCCCTCGATGAAAGTTGTAACAACTTTCCCTCCTACCAGCAGCATATGACAGTGCTATTTACCCACTCCATAGGACAAGTGGGCAGCCCTATGGAGTGCCAGGGAGGCCAGGCGGGCCTGGGTGGTAGAGGGCCAGGCGGCCCTTTGCCCTCATTGGACTGGGCTGCTGAGGGGGTAGACTGGGGACTATTGCAATCTCAGGGTGAGCAGGCAACAGGAAACGCGGGTGCTGCGTCCTCGAAGCTGACAAGACCTTGAACTTGCAGATCCCTTAACCTCATCCCAAAAGAGCTCTAAAATAAGGGAATGGCGCCCCATCCCCACAGTCCCAGCAACTGGTCTCTATGGGGACTGACAGAGTATAGGGGAAAACTGAGGCCTCAGACCAAGCACTGGGAAAGCTGACCAAAAAAAGCTGAGCCCGTGTACAGAAATGGCCGTCTTGCAACTTCCTCTCATGGTTGAGACACTGGGGGAGGCTCCTCGGGCCCCAGTCTGTGTCGCCTGGGCCCCTCAGAGCTCCCCAGCACTGGGCTGGCTCTTTAGGGCCTGAGAACGTCCAACAAATATTTACTCAGGGCCTGTGGGCCAGGAGACCCAAAGAGGCAAAGACTCCTGCCCTTGTGGGGTTTGTTCTGGAGCAAGAAAGACAGGGCTGAGCACGTCTTTGAGGGCATCTCACTGCAGGTTAGCAGGTAACAGCACTATAGGAAAAGAGCGGCCAGCTGGCTAAGGCAGGGCAGGCCATGCTCACCAAGAAGGGGAGATCTGAACAAACTCTGGGAGCCAGTGAGGGAGTGAGCTGAGCGGACCTCTGGGAGAAGAGCCCTGGGCAGAGACCCCAGCCCTGCAAAGTATGAGCCAGACCAGCAGGGGGCTGGTGTGCCGGGAGGGGAGAGTGTGAGGGGCTGGGGCAGGTAGGGCTTAGTGGCAGACCTTGTGTGAAATTTCATTGTGACTGAGTGAAAAGGAGGTGCCCACGAAGGGTGCCTTCTCTCAGGCGCTCAGAAAGTGCTTGTGAGGGACGCCTGGGTAGCTCAGTGGGTTAAGCATCTGACCTCAGCTCAGGTCGTGATCTCGCAGTTTGTGAGTTCGAGGCCCACATGCAGCTCTGTGCTGACAGCTTAGAGCCTGGAGCCTGTTTCAGATTCTGCGTCTGCCTCTCCGCCCCTCTGCTGCTTGCACGCTCTCTCCCTCTCAAAAATAAACATTAAAAAATTTTTTTTTAATGTTTTTTTTTTTTTTTTTGGCCAAGACAAAGGCAAGGGGAAAGAGCAGGCATTAACTGGTTCCACCCTCACATAATCCTATGAGGCAGGCATGAGAAATGAGGCTCGAGGCTCGGGGGGGGGGGGGGGGGTGTACCCAAGGACACACAGCTGGTGAGTGGGTGGGAGGTGACTGCAGTGGTCCTGGGGCTGCTGTCCCTTCCTCAAGTCTCTCCCACGGATATTTCTCTGCCTAAAAATCCTCCTTGGTTCTTGCTTGTCCACAGGGTGCAGTCCAGCTCTGTCGCCTATGCTGGAGCCCCCAACACCCAGGGTCCAGCCCACCTTTGCACCCTCTCCCATCCATGTGGACCAGCCCCACCCCCACCTCCAACCAGAAGACACTACTCAACATTCCCAGAACCTCTTTCTCAATCTCCCAGGCCTTGCTCACAGGCCCACCCCTTCCACACCCTAAGGCCTCTGTCTTTTGTGGGCTCTCCTCCTCTAGGCTGCCCTCCAGACACATCCTTCCCCCCTTAACCTCCATCTCTCCCCAGCCCCCCTGAATCTCTCCTCTTGCTCTGCACCAACCCCTGCCTCCAGCTCCCCAGCCCCAGCAACCAAGAAGCCCCGAGTAGCCCAACCTCCTCTAAGGCCCAAATCTCGGCCATCCCTCCTCACCCCTGACTCTTGCTGACCAGGCCTGCAGCCTGGGAGCTCACCTCCCGGCCACATCACTCAGCCTCCGGCACCTCAAACCCACCGCCACCCACAGTGACTTCCTTCTGCTCACCACGGCAGCACCTCCCAGCACCACCCCCCCCCCCCAACCCCGTTTGCTCTCTGAAGATAGGATGGCTTCTCCTCCAGGTGTAGGCCCCTTCTCCATGCAGCCCCTCCACCATCCTTCTCTCCCTAGGTACCCCTGGATCCTTCCCCACGATTGGCCGTGTGGCTTCTGGGCAAGTTCTTTCCCCTTAGGGAAGCTCAGACAACTCGATCCCACAGAGGGGTCAGCGAGACTCGCCTCCCAGAATCGTTCAAAGGGCTGAAAGGACAATTTGTCGGTCTTTACCTAATATACAGGAGGGGGTCATTTAGTGCCTGTTTCCCTCACTGGCCTCCACACACGCTAACTGGGACCTGTGAAGGTTTAGGAGTGTGGCTCTGGAGACCTTGATTTGAATCCTGTCCCTGCCCTTTAGTAACTGTGTAGCTGAGGGCAAGTCCCTTCTTAGGGCCTACGTGTCCCCACCTTTAAAATGGGGGCAATAACAGGCTGCACCTCACGAGGTTGTGAGAATTCCACAAGACAGCATGTATGATGTTCGTGTGCGGGGGGGGGGGGGGGGGGTGCACACCCGGCGTTCTTCCAGAGGGAGGAAGGCTCACCCTGTCCCTGCGGGCTCAAGATCCCAGCAGAGGTCCTCTTCACAGCTTCCTTGGGAAAAGAGAAATGCGGGGAGCCAGGAAGCTGCTGGAGGAGAGCCCCATGACAATAGCACCCCTCCCTCCTCTGCCCCCCTGGCACTTCTCTCTCACCCTCCCTGTGTGAGCAGTCAGCTCTCAGCAGGGGAAAGCCAGACAGAAAAGGGGCCCAGGACTGGAGCAGGGACCCTGAGATTGGATGAGAGGGGCCCTTTGAAAAGAAAAAGGAAAGGTAATAATTATACAACCGTCCTCACGGGCCCAGCACATTGGATCCTTACAGCGAGGCTATGGGACAGGGATGATCTCCATTTCACAGATGAGAAATGGGGCTCAGAGCGGACACTTTTCCAGGTCACAGGACTGAAAGAGCCAGACTCAGCACTGGACCCAGGTTTGTTTTACCCCAAAGCCTGTGCTCTGGGCCCTAGGCTGCCCAGTGTGTATGCCGTGAGTCCTTGGGAAGAGGTCTCTGTGCATATGACGGGAGGATCCTGAGGCGTAGGGCTAGGGAGAAACTTCGACTTCTGAGCTGTGGCCCAAGGCCAGTTTGAGGCCACCCAGGGGCCCTGGGTGGGGGTGGGGTACCACCCAGCGTGCGGAGCTAAAGGCGCGGGGCCTGGAAGGAGTTAACTGCATGAGGGGCCTGAGTGAATCAGAGGCTCCGCAGGCTGCGATGGAAATTCCCTGTGCATGGCGTGTGGTCACCCAGAAAAGGGAAATGGTGCTTTTCGGAGCAGGGGACGGCGGGGGCTGGAACCCGGGAGCAGACGCCTGCCCGGGTGGGGCTGGTGAGGGTGTTGTGACCAAAGACTCCTGGCCTCAGGCTCTGCTTAGGCTCTGGGTGGGAGAAAGGAGGTAGGAGCCACCAGGCCAGGCCAGGCCTGGTCATTCTCCAGTGTGCCCATGGGCCCTGACGGATGGGTAGGAGTTCACCAGGCCCAGAGGAAGGAAGGGCACTCAGGCCGTGGGAACTACAAAGCACAGGGGTGTGACTCAGCATGAGAGTCTGTCCCCCATGCTTTTTCTGGAGAACTCTTTCCTGTCCTTGGGGCCCATCCCAAGTGATACCCCTCCGCACCCTGGGAGCACCATCACTCCCTTTCTGTGTCCCAAGGCCTCAATTTCCATCTGGGAGCTCTCAGAATTTTGTAACTCATCTGCCTTCTACCCAGGACTGTGGCCAAGGGTCATGCTGTAGCTTCAGAGGCAGCTTGCACCCACCATAGAGCTGGCACCAAGTAGGTGCTTGGTGTTCATGAAATACCAATTTCACAGGAGGGGGCTCTGAGGCTCAGAGAGGTTAGGAGAAACTCAACCAGCCAGCTGGCTATGGCGGAGTGGGACTCAGGCCAGGGCTTCTGCTCAGCTGGGACTTGGCGGGAGGCGGGGGCACTGGGCACTGACACCTGGCCAGGGGTGGCCATCTGACAACTATGCCGTCCAAAGCCTGCTTCTCTCTCAAGCATCAGACCAGCCCTGCTTTCGCTCTTGTCACAGTGTTAGGAGACTTCAGTCCTGCCAGTAGGGAGACTGGGGTACAAGATGGAACCAAAGGCAGTCAGGGAGAAGAGGGAATAGGGTGTTAAGAAACCTTGAATCCCATCCAGACGCTCTCTAGCTATGGGGCCTCGTACACGTGGTTTCTCCTCTGAGCCTCGGTTTCCACTTTATGATGGTGGTCATGGGATAGGCTCGTTCTGGGGATGGAAAGATCTGACTGATGTCAACTGGAAACCTCTGCACCAATGTGAGGGAGTTGGTCTGTTATTAGTAATGAGTGTCACTTATGTGGCCTGTTGTCTCTCCTCGGAGCGGTCTCCTGCTGCAAGGCCATCCAGCCTGCCACTTCCTAAGCCGGGTGTGCCACGGCCTCAGGCCCAGTGTCCCTCTGCACCGCACGAGGGCCTGTCCCCCACACCAACCCAAGGAGAGCGGTGGCTGGGTCCTCCTGTCCAGAAACATGCCCTCCAAAGTCCCCGGGTGCCCCAAGTTCCACCGTAGCACCCCAGATTCCTTGGCTCCTGTGAAGATGCAGGACGCCCAGAGAAACCACCCTCAGGAGGGATGGGCAGCATGGTGGCAGCCATTGGCGTTGGAGCTTTTCCAAGCACGAAGGGGAACTGAGAAGTGTGGGAATGTGCCTTGGGCCTGCCCAGGGTGGGCGGCCGGGCCCGGGTGGGAGGGGCTGTTCCAAGGAGTCCAGACTGATGGGGTCCTGGGGGTGCAGAGGAGAAGGGACCCGTCGGCCTGTGACAGTGGGGTTGGGCGTCACCATGAGGTGCCTGCAGGTTGTCCAGACAGAGCTGGCCGGGCAGCGGGAGGCTGGGGAGCTGTGTGGAGAAGGAAAGAGGAAGCCATGGGGAGAGGGGGATGGGCTGCTGGGGATGGAGTGGGAGTGGGGGCTGGGGGGCCTGGAGCCACTTGGCCGCAGCCACTTCACTTCTCCCGGTTTCGGTTTGTAAATAGCTGCCGGCTCCGTGCAGGCGGGATGGGCCCTGCCCCTTCTGTGGCCTGTGTCCAGGGAGGCCCGGGCCTGAGTAGCTGCAGCTATTCAAAGCCTGCATTTGAGGACCCCAGGAGGCATGGAAGCTGGCCCGGCCTTTCTCTGGGTGGGCAGGTTTCGGTGGGCCCAGCACTGGGTAGCCCCAACCTGTGGTCACTGAGGTAATGCAGCTGGGGCAGAACTTGATGACTTGGCCACACTGAGCTTATTTATAACTGGGCCTCCGTGGGCAGAGGCAGCTGCTGAACCGCCAACTCAGCACTTGGTGCCGGGACAGGATAGTGGGGGCCAGGCCAGCCCGATGGGCCCTCAGTCTCGGCCTCGGGGTCTTGGGATCCCCAAGGCCTCTTTGGCTGGAACCAGTGCTTGTGCTGTCTGTGTTGCACAGGTCTTGAGATTTAGGGCTTGTACTTGTGAGGTGGGCACCTCAGAACCTCCTAGACCAAGAGGGTGTCTGAACTCAGTGGACTGGTCGGTTCCCAGGGGGCTCATGCCTTGGCCTTCCTGGAAACTCTTCCTGCAGAGGTCAGGCACTGTCAGCAAAGTCAACAAGAAGCAAAGTCATCTCCCCTCCCATTCTTGCAATAGCAGTGCTTAAAAACAAAACAAGATGCGTTCGGGAAGAGGGCAATGCCAACTCCTGAGGCCTGGCCCTGATGGTGGCCCTCCAGGCACCTGACAGAGGGGGAAAGATGTGGCTCCCTCCTGAGGCTCCCGTGTCCCACCACACGGGTACCCATCTCCTTCTTAGACAGGAAGCACTGGCCCTGCCCCCACCCTCCAAAAGACCACTTCTGGAGAGGTGTCAGACCCCTTCCTCAGGTCTGCGGGAATAAAGTGGCTCCTAAAATCTTTCTCCCACTTTCGAATCCTTCTGGATCCATCTTGTCACCTACGACCCTCTGTCCCATCAACACCTCGTCTCCCAGACTTGGTCCTGGCCTTCCCACCTCTAAGCCTTGTTCCAGTCTGGCCCCCGGCCTGGCATGCCCTTTCCTTCCCCCTAGTCTCTCCAAGGCCTATGCCAAGCCCTGCTCTGAGGGTCCCAGCCTCCGTGCCTACCTGTCCCCAAAGCAGAGGCTCTTGAAATATGAAATTCAAGGGGGATGTCAGAATTGGAGCCGAAATGGGCAAGAGATTTTAGATCATGGGGGCCACAATCACTACACAAAAGAGGAAGCCGACGCCTGCAGGGGGTCAGGGATGGCCAAAGGCACTCAGTGAGCAAAGAACAGAGCTGAGACCAAAACTACGCGCCCTGACTCCTGGACTGGAGCTCCCATCCCTGGACCTCTGACCTCCTGGGCCCCAGCTTGGCCTTGAGCGATGGCCCCACCTGGCCCCTCACACTTGGCAAAAGCTGTTGGGTATGGGAAGGACGGGTTGCTGGTGTGGGGGTACCTCAGGCCATCCACTGCCCAGGTGTGAGGCCTGGCCTGGCAGGCCTACTCAGGCCCCTCTGGGCAGGGTCGGGGTGCCCAGCCCCGAGCCGCCCGGGCTGCAGCTGCCCCTGTTTCCACATCGGCAGTAGCAAGTCCGGGCCTGAGAAAACAGGAAGCGCCCAGTCACCACAGGAAGCATGTGTGCGCAGCCTCCCCACCCCCGGCCCATTGCAAAACGCCAACAGCCCCATTACCACAGGCACCACACAGTGGCGGGCAGAAACGCTCCGGCCGCCAGGACTGCCGAAGAACCGGACAGACAGACAGACTCCAGCCCTGACTTGCCTGGGCCAGGCCACGGGGTGAATGCCCAGCCGTGGCCTTGAGGAGCCCAGGGTCCCCTAGGGTTCAGGCCTCATGCCTGACTCTGGATTCTAGAGCCTAATCCCAGACTGGCCTAGGCTAGGCCTGCTTTGGCCATCATTAAATCAGAATATGGGGTCAGGGGTCACAGGGAAGCCATTTCTCTGACTCGGTGGGTGGCACTGGAGGACCCTGTGCCTGTCCCTCAGACCCTGACAGGGCCTGATGCCCAAGCCTCGCTGACCCAGTTGGCCTAGATCCCACCGCCCCCACGACCCCAGGGAGCCATCTGCTGTCCAGTCCACGCCTGCCACGCCCTCTGCCCAGCCCCAGCCCTTCCCAACCGAGACTTTGCTGGCCCCTGGGGTCCTGCCCAGGCTAGCCCTCAGGAGACTAGCGCCCCTCCTCATCCCGCCCTGCCTGCCCCGACTCACCTCCCATTTCTGGCCACCCGGCCTCAACCCTTGGAAGGAGATGGGAGTGCAGCAAAGCTGAGGCCCGGTGCCTGGGGAGGCCTGTGCTCCTCCAGCCCCGGGGACGGCAAGGAAAAGAGAAGAGAGCAGAGCATTTCATGGCTATAATAAATCAAAGGGGGAAGTCAGAGCAGGAGAAATAAGAAACTTCCCTACCCTGGGCACAGGGACCTGCCAGGCAGCAGCCCCCGGCACCCCCACGGCCTTCCCTCCTCCCTTCTGCCTCCCTGGCCAGGACCCAGATCTGGTGCTTACTCTCAGGCCTCGGGGCCCCACCTGCCCAGAGATCTTCTGGGTGCCCAACAACCTTTCTTGCTGTGCACCCTGGATCCGGGCACCTCTAGGTGGGGCTTCAGTTTCCTCCTCATGGACTCAGAACTCCATGGGGCAGGGGGGAGGTGGGGGGGGGGGTGCTGGCTTGGAGAGTGTATGGTTAGGCTGCCCAGCAGAGAGGCTGAAGATGGGTAGTGCCCCTCTGGACAGGATGAAGAAATGAAAGAGGTGAAGGGAGGGAGGGGAGGCATTCTGGGAATTCCTGGTGGACAGTCGGGCTCAGCAGGACAAATGTCTGTGAGAGGGGACTGGAGGGCCAAGGCAAGAGGCAGGAGTAGGGAACAGAGGTGGGGAGAGCCCTGTGTTGTGAGAGCAGGCAGGGCCTTGACTTCAACTCAACTCCTGCACTCTCTCAAACCAGACCAAGGGGCCCAGGGGCCTGGGGGCCACTGTTTGTCCCCTCCCCCCATCATGTCTTCCTGAAGTGTCCACTCAACAGAGATACTGGGAGGGGAAACACTTTTTTCAGGCAGGGGGAAAGCTCACATATTAAAAAAGGAGAATGAGGGGCGCCTGGGTGGCCAAGTCAGTTAAGCATCTGCCTCTTGATTTGGGCTCAGGTCCTGATCTCATGGTTTGTGACATTGAGTCCCGCTTGGGGCTTTGGGCTGACTGTGCAGAGCCTGCTTCGGATTCTCTCTCTTTCTCTCTCTCTCCCTCTCTGCACCCCTCCTCTGCTTGCTCTCTCTCTCTCTCTCTCTCTCTCAAAATAAATAAATTTAAAAAAAAAGGAAGATGCCAATCTGTATGAATTTTTAAGATAAAATAAGGAATTTCAGAAACATTTTGCTAGTTTTGGGGCCTCTATGAGCCATGCACCCAGATACCAAGCAGACCCTCCTCCGGTGCCATTGGGGTGCATTGTGGAGACTCAGGCTGCCTCCACTTGAAGCCCTCCTGAGACAGTGTGCTCACTCCCTGACTCCAGGGGTCTCTCTCTCACTGCGAGCAAGTTCTCCTCAGCCCCAGCCCTGAGTCTGCGCACGATGTCTCCTGGACAGCTACCAGCCTGGAGCTCAAGGCTAACAGAAGAGCCTGGCAGGGCCCAGGATCCTTCTGAGCCTCTAAGATCACGCTGCTTCATTCACGACCTCGTCAGGCAGATAAGATAAGAAATTGGCAGTGACTGTTGGGAGTCCAGGCTGCCGAGCCAGACAGATCCAAGAGCATGCAGGGTGTGACCGTAACTCCCACCCTCAGTTTCTCCACTTGGAAAATGCCTACCTAGAAAATTTGCAAAGAAAGACAAAGGAGATCACAGGGTGATCGTGGAGCCTGCATCACACAGTGGCCTCTGACACTCTCATCTCCTCCCAGAAGCACCTATTTCCTCCCTCCTTTCCCTTTCACCTGCCTGAGGTGGGGTGAGAACTTCTATTCCCTGCTCTTCTCTGCACCCCCACCCCCCAGGGCCCTTGGCCTCGCTCTGACCTGTCCTGATCTGAGAGAGTGTTAGCGCTGAGGTTCCCAGCCCTACCCCAAGGGGCTCCCTCTGTGAGATGAGACTTTGAAGGCCCAAACTCCTGCTCTGACAGGACTCCCCATTTCTGTTCACACCTCCTGCCCTCGCACGACACCTTGCTTTCATCCTCAGACAGCCACAACTGTTTTTTGTTTTTTAAATTTAGTTATTTATTTTGAGAGAAAGAGAAAGTACGAGCAGGGGAGGGGTAGCGAACGTGAGAATCCTGAGCAGGCCCTGCACTGCCAGTGGGGAGCCCGTTGCGGGGCTCGAACTCACGAACTGTGAGATCATGACCGGAGCCAAAGTCCGTTGCTTAACCCACTGAGCCACCCAGGTGCCCCATCCACTTTTGTAACAACTGGTGGCATTCACTAGGCGCTTTACATACATAACAGGTCAGAATCCTCACAGGTATTCTTATCCCCGTTTCAGATATGAGGCAACTGAGGCTCAGAGGGGAGGAAGGTCAGCTGGCCAAAAAGCAACAGCTCTGAGGTGAGAACTTGATTCTGTCCTCCAACCCAGTGGAAATCCTATGCAAACCAGGAGGCAAAGCAGCAGGTCTTTTGGGGTGTCACCGCTGCCCAGGCCCATGGTCCTGGCCCATTCCCGGCTCCCCTGCCCTGTCCCCATCACCACAGTCTCTTGCTTCTCCTGGTCCAGGTTGTAAGATGTCAGAGTTGGACACATTCCGGCCTCAAGTGCCCACGAGAGCAAAGAGGTTATAAAAACAGAAAGGTGGGGCGCCTGGGTGGCGCAGTCGGTTAAGCGTCCGACTTCAGCCAGGTCACGATCTCGCGGTCCGTGGGTTCGAGCCCCGCGTCGGGCTCTGGGCTGATGGCTCAGAGCCTGGAGCCTGTTTCCGATTCTGTGTCTCCCTCTCACTCTGCCCCTCCCCCGTTCATGCTCTGTCTCTCTCTGTCCCAAAAATAAATAAACGTTGAAAAAAAAATAAAAATAAAAATAAAAACAGAAAGGTGAGCAGTCTGCTGAATCAAGGGCTCTCCTTGGCTCCCTGCCCTGGGAATTCACACCCAGCAGTGGCACTTAACTCCCTAGGGAGAAAGCCTCAAGGGAGCTGTGTTCCCTGCTAGTTAGAACCAAGACATTGGTGCCAGACCTTGTTGTAGAGCAACAGAGACCGTCCCCTGGCTAAGTGACTTAACCCTAAAATGGAGAGAAAAATGCCTCTCCTGGCCTGTAGAGTTCACAGAAGGGAAGTTTCTTTCTAAAAGCCAAGAGCTCAGCCCCTCTTCATGCATGGTCTCATTTAAGCCCCATAACAGTTCTGACAGGTCGGTACTATTATTATTCCCATTTTACAGATGAGAAATCTGAGGCGGAGGAGTCTTCCTAAGATCACACAGCCCTGCAGGGGCTTGAACCCCAATCCTGTGTGACTACAAGTCAGGTGCATTTATACTGCCTCAGAGAGGTTCCTCTTCCTTTCTCCTAGGAACTGTTCTCTGCCACCACCAACCCGCAGGGTCAGGGGCCCTGAGTGGCGAGTTGAACCATGACTGGATGGCCCTGCCCAGCTGTGGTGCAGTCCCCAAATGCCTGACTGCCCTTGCTTCTTGGGTTGGGCTTGCGGATGGCTTCCTGGGCACGCAAGGTTTTGGGGCCAGCTGCAGCAGGGACTCCTCCAGGCCGTTCCCCAGCCATATTGTTTGCGGCCATCCTACCCTGCAATCAGGTAGGTGTCTGTCTCTTGCAGAGGGGTGTTATAAGTTCCTGTAGGGGCCCTCCCGGCAAGGCAAGGAAACAGAGAAACCCTTGAGCTTCTCTCTGGTTTAAGCACCTTCCAAGGCCCTAGCAGAGGCCTCTGCAAATTTAATTTGTGATTTTGTAGTCTTTTTCTTAACGAGGACCTCAAATTGTAAAAGCATCAGGCTCTACACAACCTAGCTCTGTCCCCACGCTGAGGACAGTGGAAAGTGTTCCATCCTCCTCTGGCTCCCTGGCTCTGAGGCAAGCGAGACCTCCACTTTCCCATCTATGCAACAAGATTGAAGCCGGGAGACAGGCGGGTACAGCAGGGGCAAGGAGAAGGGATCAGGGTCCCCATCCTTTACAAAAGGCTCAGATCTGCAGAGGGTTTTCACCAGCCTGCACTTGTTGCATCTCCAACAGCCTCGCGGAGTAAATGGAGCCTCTTACTCCCGTTTTCCAGCTGAGATAACTGAGACCAGGAACAGAAGGTGCAGGCCAGAGCCTCTCCCCCACGAGCCCCGGGGGGGCTCCGCCCAGGATGCCGAGCCAGGGTTGGAGGGAGTAGCGGACAGAGGGTGCGGGGACGGCGCAGCGGAGGCAGTGGGGAGGCGGCGGCGTCCCGCACTGTCTCACCGCAGGACCGACCTCGGCGCTTATCTGCTCGGGCAGCTTCCGCCCCCCACCCTAGCCCCCGCCGCAGCCCGGGCCCCCGCCCCCGCCTCCGGAGGGCCGGCCCGAGGGCCCCTCCCCCGGCGCCCGCCCCCAGGGAGCGCCGAGCTAGCAGGGCCCTGCCCGGCCGAGCGGAGAGGGGCCCGGCCCCCAGATGAGGCGCCGGAAGTGATCAATAACCCCGGAGGCGGGGGCGCCTCCTGCCTCCAGCCCGCCGCGCCAGGCCGAGCGGGGGTCCCCTGGGCAAAGCTGGGAGAGAGGCTGCGAGGGAAGAGGAGCAGGGTCCCCTAAAGGCCGGAAAGTAGGAGAGGCGGGGTCGGTCTGCACCCGGTTCGGAGGGACACGAGCCCACCCCCCCCCCCCAACACACACGCACAAGTGCACACACACACACACACTAGCAACGCCCATGGGCGTCCCTGGCACAGATGTGGGAGGGAAGAGAGAAGTGGAGACACCTTAGAGAAAGTGAAAAGCAAGCCGCAAACGGGAGCAGACGCCCGCCACGTGCAACTGGCAAAGGTTAAGCATCAAAAATACATAAAGAACTCTTGCAAATCCATAGGGGGGAAAAACACAAAATATCCGGCAGAAAATTTGATAAACGACGTGAAAAGGCATTTTAAAGAAGAGGAAGCACATGTGTTCAAGTGAACATCTTAAGAGATGCTCAAGTTCATTGGTAGTGAAGGAACAACAGCGACGACCACGGTGGGATGCTATTTTACAGCACTGGAAGGGCAAAAATTAAGCCTGACAGCACCCAGTGTTGGAGAAGAGGTGGAGCCGCACAATCTCCCGTGCATCGCTAGCCAGCAACTCTGTGTAACCACTGGAGAAGACAATCTGGCCTTATCTTATAATGCGGAGACGCAGCAGATCCCCACCCCCCCAGGCATAAAATCAAGAGAGACCTTGGCTTGTGCTCCAAGAGACCTGGGCGGGAACGTTCAAAGATACACTGTTCTTAATAGCAAAACTCTGGGAGTAACCCAAGTGAAC